TGCGCCGGCGCGCGCGCGGCGCCGCGCCGCCCCGCCCCTTCCCGGGCTCGCACGGGGGTGGGGGTGCGCCTGTCATCACTCGGGAGCGGCGCGTGCGTGCTGCGGGGCGCACTCTGACCCGGAGACGACCCCGGCTCCCCGCGCTCCCTCCCTGACCGCGAAGATGGCGCTGTCCAGGGTGTGCGGGGCTCGCGCTGCTCTTTGGGGCTCGGCCGTCGCCCTTGGACCCTTTGTCACCCGCAGGCTGCAGCTGGGTCGCTCTGGCCCTGCGTGGCGGGCCCCTCGGTGCGGGCCCCGAGAGAGAAGAGCGTTCTTGACGTAGAAGGCCTTGGGACGGCTCAACTTCGGCTTCGCGGGGTCCCTCCTGAGTGGGGGGTCCCTGACCCTCTCTGCTCTGCATTGTCCGCTGATCCCGCGCATCCCGAGCTCACCTTCCAACTTCCCTTTCTTCCCATCTCCATGGCCTTAGCTTGCATTCCTGGCCCCACAGGCTTGGCGCCCACTCCATGCTCATACTGTTTCGTCACTCTTCTGCCTGGGCTGCCCCTCTCAGACCAAAGAGCTTTGGCAATCGTTGTCAGAAACTTGTATTTAAGTAAGTAGGGGGCCCTAGGTACGAGGTGGTTTCTGCTAGATCACAGATAGGTCTCTTTGATCTTCCTTGTAGGTCTTCAAGGCTGCATCTTTCTCCAAAGGCAGATGTGAAGAACTTGATTTCTTATGTGGTGACCAAGACAAGAGCGATTAATGGGACATACCATCGGTTCTTGGGTCATCATTTCCCCCGCTTCTATGCCTTATACACAGTCTTCATGAAAGGTAAACACTCAAATCGAAGTCCCCCAGACAGCTAGAAAGTTACAGTCAGTGAGATCACGTGCGCAGGGGTTCTGCTTCGTGGATGTGAGTTGGGGTGTCTTCTCTTTCATTGGTATTTGAGATTAATTCCTACAAATTGTCACATCCTAAATATCTAGAAGGATGTTATGATAAACAGCTTCTGGCATTGCAGGAGTGGATGCCATTTCCTTGCCCTTCACCAGAGCAGGGAACTGTGGCTGTGCAGACCTGCCCCAGTGATTTAGCTAAGAAATGGAGGTAAGAAAATGTGGTCCAAATGCTTATCAGATGGCCGGCCAGCTTAGGTAACTTGTAGGGGAAATAGCACCATTTATACTTGATTTCTGAATGTTTTGATTTAAAACGGAGGTCCACTAGTCACGATGAAATGACACCTGTAATGTCACTTGACCACTCTGGACCCAGCATACCTAGTTCAGATCCCGGTTTGTGACTTACTGACTTGCACTTGCCCTAGTGACTGAAATTGTCTCTGGGGTTTCTCATCTATAAAGCATTAGAACTGACCTATTGATTACACAGTGGTGAATATTATTACTCACTTAGAAAGGGTGTCATGCAGCTTAGGCTGGCCTTAAACTTCCTGTGCAGTTGAGGATGACCTTGAACTTGTGAGTTCCCTGCCTTCACTTTCCGAGTGCTGGGATTTTAAGCCTGAGCCACCACACCTAACTGTGAAGAGTAAATCAACATATATAAAGTGCTTAGAACAGGGCCTGATATATATTAATATGGCATCTATACAGTAAGTGCCCAAAATGTATTCACTATTACTATTATTATATCCTATATTTTTATTCACTAATCAAAAGAAAATTAATGTTGTCAACTCTGAATATTACTATAATTATTATTAGCTTCATGGAGTTGAAAAATTACCCACTTTTATCTAAAAAGTGGAGGTAAGAATGGCTGGCTTGCCAGACATAGTGGTTCTATGTCTACAATCCCACAACCCAGCATTCCAAGGCAGGAGGATCAGGAGTTCAAGGCCAGCTTCAGCTACATAGCAAGATTCTGTAAAAACAAAACAAGAAACTCAAAACAAAATAGTTAATGACCACCAATCATACACACACAGATACATACACACACACACACACACACACACACTGTATTATTTGAAGCCAATCTTGGTAACATTTTTGTTCATAAATATGGAAGCATTAAAAATATTTTATTTATTTTATTTGTATGGTTGTTTTGCCTTGTGCATGTATACATGTGTACCATGTTCATGCTTGATGCTCTCTGAGGTCAGAAGGCATTAGCTCCCCTGAAATATGAATTGTAGATGGTTGTGCACCACCATGTGGGTGCCGGGAACTGAATCCAGGACCTCTGTAAGAGCAGTAGGTGCTCTTAACCTCTGAGCCATCTCCCCAGTCCTGGAAGCATTTTTAAAAACTAGATAAATGTAAGGATGATCATAGAATAAAGATTTGAAATGGGATCATAGCAATATGTCAAATTATGCAACTAATAAACATGTCCCAGAAAGCAGCAGGTTAATCTGGCTGGGAAATATAGGGTTAATTGACCATGATGCTGGTGTTAAGGATCTAGAGTTTAAAACAGGGGAAGAGTAAAGAGCTCACAGGAGACCACTCATGGCAGAGCATCATTCAGCTGGGTAATATGCTTCGGGAAAGGATGGGGAGGTCTGAGGTGCGCCATGCTTCCTAGTTGAAAGTTTTTGTGTAGGCAGTGCTGTGGAGGGGCCAGTGTGTGTGCATGTGAGTGAGCACAGTAGGAAGCTATGGTGAGATTCAAACTGGGATAACATCGCGTTCTGTCCTCCGCTTTAATGGGGCAGGAATACAGATGTTATGGGCTGATGGCAAAAAGGCTAGAAGAATAAAGGCAAATATGTGGAAGCACAATGTAAAGTTTCATCAACTTTCTTACCGGGAGATGGAGCATTTGAGACAGGTATGGGCCAGGGGCAAATATCCAGATGTTCATGGTGAGATAATTAACCAAGATCCTACGTCTGTTTCTTTTGTTTCTTGTTCTTCACTGGTCACACATTTCCCTTTGCCACGAGGCATCCAGTTACTTGTCAGAATTGGGTTCATTGAGAATGAACTTCACAGCAGGGCTATACAGAATTCTGGTACATTTTGATTCAATTTGTAAGTAATAAAATCCAGTTTGATTTTGGACATATAACGATCTGCACAGAGCGGCAGGGCAGCAGGAAACTGTTTGGCAGTGACCTGACAGGCAATTTGAAGCTCAGCGTTCAGGAGACATTCTGTAAATCAGAAAGAGTTCACCAAGGGGTTTGATAAAAGGTTAGGCCCTCTGCTCAATATTTGGGATACAGACATTAACATCAGAGGTCCACCCTCAGGAACTTACCATTAGGAGACAGATACAAGCATGGTCCTTTTTCTAAGCTGTAGCACAAGTTCACTGTACAGTGAATGGGATGAAGGGTTTGTCTATGTTATCAAGAACTGAGTTGGATTAAAAACAGTGTGTTTATTTCTGTTTAGTTCCGTCGAGATGCCACCAAGTGTCTTTTCATAGGTATCATTTCCATTCCACCCTTTACCAACTACCTGGTCTTCTTGCTAATGTGAGTATATACTACCACCAGATCTTGAAACTATAGATTGTTTTAAAAATTATTATTATTATTATTATTTTTTTTTGGTTTTTCGAGACAGGGTTTCTCTGTATTGTTTTGGAGCCTGTCCTGGAACTCTCTCTGTAGACCAGGCTGGTCTCGAACTCAGAGAGATCTGCCTGCCTCTGCCTCCCAAGTGCTGGGATTAAAGACATGCCCCACCAACGGCCGGCCATTAAAAATCATTCTGCCTGATGTAGTGGCACATGATTTTAGCACTTGGGAGATGGAGGCAGGAGGATCAGAAGTTCAAGGCTAACCTTGGCTACGTGAAACCCTTTCTCAAACAAACAAACCAAAACAAAAATAATCCAAAAAAATTATTTGTTTTTAAATTACTTCTTTTATCTCTTATGTATATGAGGTTGTGTGAGCTTATGTGTCCCACATGCATGCAAGATCTTGTGGTGCAGAAGGGAGCATCAGATCCCCGGGAGTTACAGATGATTGTGAGCTTTCATAGAGGTGCTGGGAATTGAACCTGGGTCCTCTGAAGGAACAGACAGTGCTCTTAACCCACAAGAAAATTATTTTAAAAACTTTTTATCTCAGAAGTTCAGAGGTCATCAGACTTCCCACTTCAATCTTCAGCATCCCAAAGGTTGTTTTTTAATTTATTTATTTTCTTTCATGAGTGTTTTGTCTGCAAGTATGTATATGTACCATGTAAGCGCCTACAGATGGTTGTAAGCCATCATGTGGGTGCTGGGCTGTTGTTACACAGAGAAACCCTGTTTCTAACCGCCCCCACCTCCCAAGAAAGTATTTGGATAGGCCTTGGGAGTGATTGACTTTTCTTACTTGGGTGAAGTTGACAGGCTCTACAGTGATGTTTAGCTGTTGAGTGAACCAGAGGAGGGCCTGATGTCATTCTGTGTCTGGTGTTTTGATGTGAGCATTGGGAGATGGACTTCCTCTTCAGGCTGGCAGCCTGGATGGTGGAGCTTCTTACAACAGAACCAGAGCTCCAGGGATGACTGGGCCAGTGAGCACATGACTTTAAAAACAAAACCCAAGGCCTCACCGTATAGTCCTGGCCATCTTGGAACTCACAAATGTCATCTGTCTGCCTCTACCTCCCAACAGGACTAAAAAGGTGTGTGCCATCACACACAGCCTATACTTTTGATACCTTTGTCTTAGAGGGTGCGGACTCATTTCTGCTCCGTTGTCTGAGTTAATCACCCACAGTGGGAAAAGAAGAGGGAAATAAACCTTACCTGCCCATAAAAGAAGTGCCAGAGAATTTGTAGCCATGTTTAAAAAAGCTGCCTTCTGGGGCTGGAAAGATGGCTCAGAGGTTAAGAGCACTGACTGCTCTTCCAGAGGTCCTGAGTTCAATTCCCAGCAACCACAACCATCTGTTATGAGATCTGGTGGCCTCTTCTGGTGTGCAGATATACATGGAAGCAGAATGTTGTATACATAAAAAATAAATAAAATCTTTAAAAAAAAAAAAAAAAGCTACCTTCCATGTGGGTAACAAGTAAAGAGCATATCCAGGGCCTTTTAATACTGTGTCTCTATGACTATTCTGCAGTTGCTGTCGGCATTGCACACAGCATCAGCTCTGTATGACACTGGACCGGCTTTAGTTCAAGATGAGGCATTTTATCTGACTGCCGCACACTAGCTTTCTTTCTGGTCACATTTCAGTAATACCGTCTGCAATCGTCCCGAAACGTGGGCTGAGACAACGACTGGGGTAGAGAAGCATGTCTCTGCCAGATACCTGATTAGCCCACTTTCAGAAAGTGACTTTGTGATGCTTTTTCCTTGTAGGTACCTGTTTCCTAGGCAACTGCTTGTCAAGCATTTCTGGACCCCCAAACAACAAATTGATTTCTTAGACATTTATCACAGTCTCCGGAAGCAGTCCCACTCAGAAATCATTACTCATTTAGAAAGGGCCAGCGCTCTTGTTTCTGATGAGAGGCTGCGGTGGCACCTGAAAGACCTGTGCACCAAGGTACTGCCTCAGCCAAGCCATTCTCCAGCTGGACCAGGGAGGTCACTGTGCACAAGAATTGGTCAGTCTCTAAAATCTACCCACTTCTTACTTCTTCCAAGGTGCAGAACGGCGCCCACCCAACAGCACATGACATCCTGGCTCTCAGGGAGTGCTTCTCTACTTGGCCTCTGGGCTTGAATCAACTGCAGGCTCTGCACATGGTGAGCACTTGGAGGCCTTTTGTGTCCACAGGCTCACTGTGTGTTAGGCTGTAAAGTAAGACAATTTCACATTCTTCCTACTTGCTGTGTCACAGAGAGCCTTGAGCCGGGCCATGCTCCTCACCCCTTACCTGCCTCCCGCCTTGTTGAGATGGCGTTTGAAAAGCCACACCACTGTGATACACCAGCTGGACAGGGCTCTGGCAAAGCTGGGGGTTGGCCAGCTGACTGCTCAGGAAGTGAAATCGGTAAGAGGTTGACTGCAGTGTCAAGTAGTGTCCCAGAGTGGGCTGGAAGCTTACAGGGCTCTTCATCTTGCTTGTATCAAATCTCAAGCTGTTTCTGCATTGTTTTACTTATTTTGATATAGGATTTCACTATATAGCCCTATCTGGCCTCAAACTCTTTCTGTAGATGAGGCTGGCCTTGAACTAAGTGCTAGAATCACAGGCTTATGGTGACATGCTGACATCCTGCCCTTCCAGATCTCCTGTAGCACAGGCTGGCCTCAAATTTAAGCAATCCTGCCTCAGTCTCCCCAGTGTTAGGATTACAGTCAGAGCCACTATACCTGACTCCAAGTTCATTCATTTTATTTCTATGGTTTTTTTTTTCCTTAATGTACATAACTAGTGGGAATGAATTTAAAAAAAAAGCAGGATCCCTGGGCAGGGTATGATATACATATCTGTGACCTTAGCACTTGGGAGGAGTTTCAGGACAACCTGTTTAAAACAATTTCAAAGACAATCTATTTTTTTTTTTCAGACAGGGTTTCTCTGTGTAGCTTTGGAGCCTATCCTGGCACTCACTCTGGAGACCAGGCTGGCCTCGAACTTACAGAGATCTGCCTGCCTCTGCCTCCTGAGTGCTGGGATTAAAGGCGTCCACCACCAACGCCCGGCAAGGACAATATATTTTAAGCCTACTATTTTAGATTATACAGATGTATCAGTCAGCTTTTCATTATTGTAACAAATACCTGAGCTTATCAATTTAAAAACAAGGAAAGCTGGTTTTTTGTTTTGTTTTTGTGTGTGTTTTTTGCTCACAGTTTTAGAGGTTTTGGTACTGGTCAGTTGGTCCCGTTGGTTTTGGGAGTATGAGATGAAGCAAAGCTGCCATGTCCTGGCAGCGGAGCATAAAAGACAGGAAGGGTAAGGCTAGTATCATGCAGTGCCCTCCAAGGACATTCACTCATAAACTAAAGACCACTCAATCAGCTTCATCTTCTAGTGGACTAAGCCTCCCCCCCCTTTCCACAGCAGGCTGAAGCCTTGGTAGCCTGCACTGGCTTTTACTATGATGTGTACTTAGGCCTTGTGCATGCTGTAGGAGCACTCTACTGGGGTGTGTTTTTAACCTGGCACTAAGTCTTTAACACATGGGCCTTGGCAGGACATGTAGCAATAGGTCTATGTGGTTATCATCTGTAGTTTACATTGTGTCCCACCCCACCCCCATCCCCAAGACAGGGTTTCTCTGTGTAACTGCTCTGGCTGTCCTGGAATTCACTCTGTAGACCAAGCTGGCCTCAAACCCAGAGATCTGCCTGCTTTTGCTCCTGAGTGCTGGGGTTAAAGGTGTGCTCCACCACCCAGCAACATGGTGAAGGTTTCTTATAGGGATAAGATCCAATCACTTGTAGATTTCTGTTTGTGGCATTCTATGCTTACTTGGGATGTTTCTCTTCTGAGTGGTACAGGCTTGCTATCTCCGTGGCTTGAATTCTACCCATATTGCTGATGATAGGTGTCGGACTTGGCTGGGAGAATGGTTGCAGATTTCCTGCAGCCTAAAAGGTAAGTGAAACCTCTGTGGCCATGCTACTGAAGTCTGAGCTTTAGAAAACAAATAAACTAAACAACAATAACAAAAATCAAACAAACCAAAAACCAGGGTCACACTGTGTAGCTCTGGCTGGTTTGGAACTCACTCTATACCAGATTGGCTTTGAACTTGAAGCTATCCTCCTGCCTCTACCTCCTGAATGCTGGGATTATAGGCAATGCACCACCATACCCAGCTCACTTTTGTACTTTATTCTGGGATTACTTGCTGAGTATCATGAAACTTTAATCTAACATATTTGTTTTGTAATTGAGGCACAAACTGGAGTACTCACTATAGCATAGACTGTGTAAGACAAAAGGACTGCTTGCTGCACGGAGACATAGCTTCATAGCCCGGGCCTATTGGCGGTTTGTTTAGGGAGCTATCTCATGCACAACGGGGTATTTAACGAGTATAATTGCCTATACCCATTCCATGCCAGTCACAGCCCTTTGTGTCTAGTGTGCCAAACAAGAGGTATCTCCAGACACTGCCAGCTGTCCCCAAGCTTGGGGTGCTAAGGGGAGAGGGACATTATTGTCCTGGGTGAGAAGCAGTCTTGAAGCTAAGAAATGTCTTTACAGCACCAACTTCTGCCCTGAGGTGACTGGCATCGTGTGAGAATGAAGACATAGTGGATGTGAACAAAGAGTGGGAGCAAGGAAGAGCATACACGCAGGGTTGGAGTGAAGCAGGCACTCCTAGAGATTAGCCTCACAGTGCTGTATTCCCCATCCCTGGCTTTCTACCTCGTGTCAAGCTCTGTACTCTAAGGAAGTTAGGTAAACCATGTCCTAGCCAGGCACTAACCCTGATGGTGTTTTCAGAAGCTGAGCTGTCCCTCTTGCTGCACAACGTGGTCCTGCTTTCCACCAACTACCTTGAGACAAGGCGCTGAGTGAACCCTGGAGAGAATGACATTGTCCTGCAGTTGCAGAGTATAGTAGTGTGGGACCAAAGAGCACTTGTCAGCAGTCTGCACTATTAGCGTGGGAGGCAGTGGAGCACGCTACCTATCGCTACCTATCTGGGAGCTACAGACATTCCTTCACAGCTTGAACTAAACAAACGCCTGTGTGGTGCCATCCCATCATGCTAACCTGGAACTGGCAAGCACCTCTGGTACTAGGCTTGTATTGTGATGTAATGTTTAGGTCCTATTGAGTCAGTTTTTGCCCAGGTGGGAATCATTTGGCCTAAAATTCATGACTGCCAAGGTTTGTTTTTAAATTTCTATTTCTTTCCTCTGAGACGAGTCTATGTTGCCCAGGCTCACCTCAAATTTCTGTGTTCAAGGGATCCTCCCACCTCAGGCTTCTGGGTGCTGGGACTACAGGTCTGTATCACACTGGCTTCACTGCCGTGTTCTTTACAGCCATGAAGGTTTTTTTGTTTTTGTTTTGGTTGTTTTCTTGAGAAACTGTCTCACATAGCTGAGGATGACTGTAAACTCCTGGCCTTTCTACTTGCACCTCCCTCCAGGCGCTGGAATACAGGGTGGAGCACCACACAAAGCCCTGTAAGGTGTGAGGAGCTGGCCAAGGGCTTTGCTGTGCTAGCCAAGTGCTGTCCACTGGCCTTTCTCACTGGAGAATTTCTGGGTGCCAAGAGCACTGCTGCTTAGACTGGAGCACTAACACCTGGGCCTGCACCTGGACACCCCTGCCAATCTTTTCTTATCCCTTTGCCCCCCTTCTTTTTTTGGCCTTTTTGAGACAGAGTCTCACTATATAGCCCAGGCTGGCCTGGAATTCACTATATAGCCCAGGCTGGCCTTCAGTTCCTGGCAATCCATTCTGCCACAGCCTCCTGGGAACTGGGATTATAGGCATGAGCCACTATGCCTGGCCCATCCTTTTTGATGTGACCAAAAATAGGGACACTTTTCCTCTTCACTAGCATGGATTGTTCACCCTCTTTCTTTTAATATTCTCTTATGGGTACATCCTAAAGGAGGTGAAAAGGAAAGGACCGGCTGCTTGGCCCTCCCCTGCACTTATCCCCCGAGCGTCTTAATTTTCAGGCTGTCACACAGCCCCTAAGGCCCTTATGTGTTTGCTACCTCCACTGTGTTGCACTAAGCCATCTGTAGTCAGCAGTGGCTGCCTTCTTTAGGCCATGGGTCAATCGCATAAGGTACTCATTACTGCTGAGCTGGGAGATGAGATCTGCACAAGATAGTAAGCTGGGTTTGGCTGTTGTGTGTGATAACTTATTGTAAATGCATGAAGCACTGTTTTTAAACCCAAGTAAAGACTGCCTGAAACCAGTTTTTGGGAATTACTTATGCACACTCTACTCATTTTCCTATGGCTTCATTTTGTAAAACTGATGTAACCTAACTAATGGGCATTTAACTGGTTGGAACAGAATTTTTTGATGGGATGAAAAAAATTGGATGGAATTATTTAATATTATCTATCAGACATACTAGAATGGTAATCAGAAATAGGGAAAATTATAACTGCTGACAGCAGGGGTCAAGCAGGCACATAAGGAAATCCCAGGCAGGACAGGTTCTTTGTGCTCTAAAGACAATAAATCTACATTTCTGTCACAGAGTATTCCTATCATTGACATTAGTTCCTCACTGACCTAGTTTTATATACACAGCAAGAGCTGCACCCTTTCTCTTCATAAATAACTGCGACTTTCGAAGATACAAAGAAAAAGAATATCACACCATTCTTTTGAATATTTCTTTAATATTACATTTAAATATTCTCTTTAAATACAGCATTATTACAATGTAAAGAACCTAAGGGGCGGGGTTGTTTTCAAGGAGCCAGACAAGCTTTGGATTCACATTGAGAATACGACCTGTGCACAGTATTCGAGGAGGCAGCTTAACGAGCTGCGGTAATGAGCCACAGTTCACCTAGGCCTTGACTGAGGGGGACTGGCTCTGCTTCTGTGATCAGAGGCCTAGCCTTCCTAGCAACAGGAACTATAAATTCTGTCCAACTCAGGTAGCACCAGAAATGAGACGGATTAAGTTGTAGAAAAGGTCCTTTGCTTGACATTCGTCAATGCTAAATATTTAGCACTCATAAGTTTGGGGTCAGTTTGAATCAGAACATGACTTAATGAGGAGATGCATTTAGAATAAGAAACTAGAGTCATACAGAAATATCAAATATCTTGGGGGCTGGCTAGTCTTTATGACAATGACTAGTATGTTACTTAATGAAAATCCAAGTCCAAGGGCTAAAACAGTTGGAGTCTTCGGGAGGGAAGGTGCCGAGTCACCTCCTTTCCAACAAACTTCAAAAGATTCTTCTCTCACCAGCTAGTCTCAGTTTAGCTTCAGTCTTGGGTTTGAGACTTCTAGCTGAAGTTGAGAGCATCTTGGCCTCTGGTACTCAGGGTAAATCTGGTGAGACTAGAGAGAGAACTAGGTACTTCCTTAAGAACTCCAACAATAAACCAAGCAAACCCAGAAATGAACAGCAGTGGCAGAATGGCTTAAAAACCAGGATCTGTGTTAAATGCAGGGACCTCCAGGTTTAGGATCAGAGATTTAGAGGTGTTTCTGTTACCACACATATTCAAGTTTGCTCTACAACACCAGGACCACCTTATCCCACCAAAAATAAAGCCAAGCAAGTGGTACACACCTGCAATCCCAGTACTCAGGATGCACATTCAGGACTGCCACAGGTTGGAGGCCAGCCTGGTCTACATAGGAAGTTCCAGGCCAGCCAGGGCTATTTAGTGAGACCCTGCTTCAAAAGATCAAAACAAGTTTTGTTTTTCTTTCCTGGTTAGTAAAGAATGAAAGAGGAAAACAGTGCTTTGCTCCTACTATCTCCATTTTACCAGAAGGCAGAGGTACACTGCCAATAAAAAGTCAGTGCTGAATGGGGGGGTCCGGGAACTTTAATTAAGACATGAGAGGAGCAAGGACCACTGACTGAGGTAAGTGTTGATCCGAGTCCCAGTCTATACACTTTAAAGATTATAATCAGATCTTGAACCCTTTGGAATCTGAGAGTCCTGTCACTTAACTAAGAATCAGCTTGACTTCCAGTTTTCATAAATCTCCAAGATGGAGGGGTCCAATAACACCTGCAATTCTCAGGCCTGAGCTGTAACATACAAAGAGCTCTCTAACCCTAGATAACCAAGGACCATGAGTGTAGGTACAGAGAAAGAGTCCTAACTAGCTGATGACCTTGTACTACACTTTATATTCCATTTAGAGCCAAGCTCTCCCAAAAGGAGAGTGTGTGTGGGTGCACTAGGTGAGAAAGCAAGAACACAGTCATCTTCCAGACTGTTCCACACTGGACCCCTGCTGAATGGTGTGCAAGCCTTATGCTCTGTACCATATCCATATCCAACCTAGATCTTTTCTTTCAAGGGAAAAGGATGGAGGAAAAGGCAGAGAAGTTTAATTCTAGTACCTAAGGGCATATGAAATAATTCAAGTTACAGACCAGGAATCCCATTTGCAGAGCAGGCCAGGGAACACCAAACACGTTGAAAATTAACTTATTTACCAGTTGAGAGGTGGGAGAAAGGCAGAATCAATGTTTAATCTGGGAGTTTTGTACAGACGCAGACTCTTCTGCAGCCTCTGTTCTAGACTCAGCTGAGTAGCCTTTCCAAGAGTGTGACTGATACACTGAGATGGATGTCTGAGGAGTGAGCCTGTGCCCTGCAGGGAGCTGCTCACATCCTTAGTTCTGGCCCTATGCATAAAGCTACCCAGCTCATTCTGTGCAATTGACATCTTTGTTCTGGTGGCCCACAGAGCTCAGTAATGGAAACTGAGCTGGGGTTGGTCTCTTTCCCTTTTTACAAATACAGGTACTAACAACCCTTTCCTACCCATTTTTTCCTAAGATTTTCAATAAAATAACCTGGGAGCAGCAGTCTCATTTTGAAGTGGCATTAGATAATAAATAGAGAATGGGCAGTGCCTGTCTTAGGTCACACTGCCAGAGGGAGCTCTAGGGCAGAGTCTTCAGGGGTCCGCTCCTCACTCTGCTGGGAGTTCTGCACTCCACAGCCTTCTTCATTGTCCGTTCGGAAGGGTAGGCTTGAGGGAGACCAAGAGGGGTGGAAGTCTTCACTCTCAGGCTCCTTAGGGTTACAGTCATCAGGCAATAGTTTGTCAAGAGTGGGTGTTTTTCCCACCTCTGGTTTACAGAGGGCAGCTGAGTCTGAGGGGCTACGAGCCACCAGCGAGGTAACAGGGAGGGAAAAAACACCCAGATCTTTCTCCTTGGGGAAGGAGGCTGTGCCCTCTTCTGAGCCAGACTCTCCTTTCACTCCCAAGACCGGCCTCTGCTCTACCTGGTAGTACACCAGAGGCCCACTGTTCAAGTAGGATGGGCTGCTCACCGAGGAGGCAGCTGGGTGCTCTGAGTTCTCAGTAAAACATAGGACAGAGGAACCTGGGGGCAGCTGAGCCTGGATGAGAATGGGGGCGGCCAGGCCTGGACACAGCTCTTGGGGAACAGCCAGGGGCTCCTCCAGGATGCACACGCCCAGGCTCTCCATGCTTGAATCTAGACTAGCACTAGAGCCACTAGAGTCCTCCTCTGCCTTGAGCCGCTCCAGTTCCTCTGCGCTCTGGAGGTGCATCACTGCAGTCTCATTCTCGGCGATGAACTCCTGGAAGTCCTGTGTCTCAGAGCTCTGGGCTCCTGGTAGGCTGCAGCTAGCAGTAGGCAAGGGCTCATCCTCAGGGGCTGCTGGGCGACTCACCTGCCGTTTGCTCTCTAGCTCCAGCTTCATGATAGTGTGGAGGTAGTGAGTCCGCACTCGGATTGGATTAAACTCAATTCGTCCAGCCATGTTTCCACAGCCATCCCTGGAGCAGCCACAAGGAAAGGACATTCGATCCACCTGAGGGAGCACAGGAGATTGTGGCAAGATAAGACCAATAGCTCTAACAGTGAGACAGGTGACATCAGCTGGCACACACAGACAGTTGGGAGTTGAGCAGTGACCAATTCAAAGCATAACACGCAGCACAAGCTAACAGTACTAGGCAGTGGTTATCAGACCACCTGAATCTCAGCTCCAGCTCAGACATTAAGTAGTGCAGGCATCTTAAGAGTCATCTATTTTCTCCCCTGGACTTTGTTTCCTCTTCTAAATAAAAAGACAAAAATCCCATCAAAGGCTCCTTCCAATTAGCAAGTCTAGTGCTACCTCTCTGAATGCTGACATCTCAGAGTAGAAGAGTTTTGTGCCTCAGGGACTTCCAGAACTTACCTGGTTCACAGGGACAATAAAAAGCTGGGCCCAAGCCTTCTGCAATGACAGGCGTGGTGAGTGGAGACCTTGCTACTTCAATGCAATACACTCTAAGAAAACTAAACAGAGGGCCTTAGTGCTGAGGTGCTAGAGTGAAGGTTCACACTGTGACTAGCTCCTCACCTGCGGGTTAACCAGTGTTGTTCTGAAGCAGTGACCAAGACAACTTACTGACAACCAGGGCTATCTAGAAAGGAGATGTGTGGGCATGGTGGTGCACACCTTTAACCCCAGCACTGGGGGGTGGGAGGAGGGGAGAGGCAGGTGGATCGCAGTGATTTTGAGGCCAGCCTGGTCTACATGGTGAGTTCCATGACAGCCTGGACTACCTAGTTTTAAAGAAAAAATAGAAAGGAGATGCTTTCTGCCTCTTTCTCTCCCCTTAATACCCTAAAACAAAACTCAAGAGAATTATAGAGCAAACAATAAAAACATGTCTTATGAGCTGGGCAGTAGTGGCACATGCCTTTAATCCCAGAACTTGGGAGGCAGAGGCAGGCAGATCTCTGTGAATTCAAGTTTATCCTGGTCCACATGAGTGAGTTCCAGGACAGGCTCCAAAGCTACACAGAGAAACCCTGTCAAAAAACTAGAAAACAAAACAAAAACAAAAAAACCCATCTTATGATATCAGCTTATTAAAATCTCTAGACCCAAGGCATGGTGATGCACACCAGTAATCCAGAACACGGGAGGTGGAAGCTGGGCCAAGAGTTCAAGGTCATTCTTGTTATAACCGAGCAAGTTCAGTTCTAGGCCAGCCTGGAATGAGACCCATTCCTCTCCCCAGAAAGAAATCTTTACCCAGGCCCAACCAGTTCCTAAGGTATTCTCAGGTTTGTGAATAACTAACTCATCATGGGATGGCAGTCTGGAGAGAAATGTTTGGCTAGACCTGCTATAGCTCTTTGTTACTAAATACAACCAAGGAAAAGAGCTAAAGGTTCAACCATAGGACTAAACACCCATGTCCTCAGCATGGCATTCCCTATGTTTCACTGTTGGTTTCCAGGAAAATGAGAATTTCAAATAAACTCTTAGAATGCCAGGAAAAAGATACTTTATTTGAGGAAACTAAGGATTTAGGTTCTGCCAGCTCAGGTCTGGTCCTGAATTAGAGAAATCTCAAAGCTTTGGTTTCCACACAACTGGAAAGAGGTACTGTGTGCAGAAGAGTTCACAGGCTGCCTTGTTTGATTCCTTTTTATCTCCAGAGTCACTATTTAAGGACCTTACTGAATGGTGAACAAAATAGTACCCTGTTCTCTCCTCTGCTGCCAGGTGCTT